AGCATAAGCTGTCATCAGAGCTTTTGATCTTGGCCATCCTGACAGGTATAAGATGGTATCTGAGAGTTACTTTGATTTGCATTTCTCTTATGACTAAGGATTCCTCAAGTGTCTTTTGGCCATTTGAGATTCCTCTGTTAAGAGTTCTCTTTTTAGATCTGTACCCCATTTTTTTCGAATTGGATTATTTGGTCCTTTGATGTCTAGTTTCTTGAGTTCTTTGTATATTTGGTGATCAGTCCTCTGTCAGATGTGGGGTTGGTGAAGATCTTACCCCAGTCTGTGGGCTGCTGTTTTGTCTTGTTAACTGTATCCTTTGCTTTACAAAAGCTTCTCAGTTTCAGGAGGTCCCATTTATTAATTGTTGACCTCAGGGTCTGTGCTACTGGTGTTATGTTCAGGAAGTGGTCTCCCATGCCAATGTAATCAAGACTTCTTCCCACGTTCTCTTTTATGAGGTTCAGTGTGGTTGGATATATGTTGAGTTCTTTGATCCACTTGTATTTGAGTGTTGTACATGGTAACAGATATGGATTTATCTGCATTTTTCTACATGTCAGCATCCAGTTATGCCAGCACCATTTGTTGAAGATGGTTTTTCCCCCCTTTTATATTTTTTGCTTCTTTTTCAAAAATCAGGTGTTCATAGGTGTGTGGACTGATGTCAGTGTCTTTAAATCAATTCCATTGACCTACATGTTTGTTTTTATGCCAATACCAAGCTGTTTTCATTACTATAGCTATATAGTAGAGCTTGAAGTCAAGGATAATGATGGTCTACAGGGCTAGTTCTAGGACAGCCAAGGCTACACAGAGAAGCCCTGTCTCAAACACACAAACAAACAAAACCAAAAACTAAACAATCAAAAACAAAAACAAAATGTTACAATCCAAATTTATAGCCCTGGATTCTTTGTCCCATAGATCTGTTAGCTGATTCAGCACATCTGTCTGTAGGTCTAACAGTTGTGCTAAAAATAGGACCTTTGGTTCCTAAATTTATTCCTCTTTCTCTGTACCATATTAGGCCTTCCAATTTTAGTAGCTGCCCCCACCTCCAATAAGCAAAATCCTAGGTAGCTGCTTAAAGTTATCCAGCTACTCAAAGACCCTTATCCTGGGGTTGGAGAGATGACTCAGTGGGACCACTTCCTGTGCACCCATGAAAAAAAGACAGCACTGATCACACATGCCTGTAACCAAATGTTTTTACCCTCTCTGGTCCCGGGTGACTCTATTCTCCCCTATGAATTCCTCTGGTAGCATTTTTCTAATGTCCCTGTTTCTACTGAATCATGTCAACTTGGTAGCTTCTCGAATCACCTGGGAGATGGGCCTTTGGCATGCCTCTATTAGAAAATAACTTGATTACATCAGTTGATGTGGGAAGACCCATCTTAACTGAAAGGGGAAGAGGGAACTGAGCACATGCAGACATTGCTCTCTGCTTCTCCCTTACAGGTATGATGTGATCAGCTCCCTTAGTCTGCTGCATCTGTGATTTCCCAGTCATGAGGGACTGCAATCAGGAAATGAGAGCCAATTAACCGTTTCTATCTTAAGTTGTTTTTATCAGGGTGGCTTCTCCATAGCAACAAGGAAAGAAACTAAAACACCTGCCTATAGTCTTTTCACCACACCAGAGACCAGGATGATGTTATAAAAACCCAAAATGGATCATACCACTCTATGGTTAAAATTCTCCAAAGACTCCCCATCACACCCAACATAAATCCAACCTAACCCTAACCTTGAAATCTTAGGTGACTGTGTCTCATTTCCTCCTCATGTTCTCTCCCAGGGGCTCCATCCAGTCTTCTGGAACCCTTGTGCAACCCATCAGGTTCTTCGGTGGATCACCTGATGCCTGTGTGGTGACTAGTTTTGCTTGTCAACTACACCAGGCATTAACTAAAACCCAAGCTGCTCAGTACACCTGTGAGGGATTTTTTTTTCTTAACTAAATTATTTAAAATGGGAAGACTCACTTTTAATCCAGATCCCTGAGGTTGGAGGATCCACCTTTAATACAGGTCTTTTGAGGTGGTTAATCTGGGCCACAGCTTCTGGTGGCAGCCCATATAGGGGACAGAAAAAGGAAGCTTGCTGTCTCTGCCTGCTTGCTCTGGCTCTTACTGGGAAGCCTATTCCTTCAGTGGACTTTGGTCTCTACTACTTTGGGATTCCAGCTTATACTGTTATACTGAAGACCATCTAAGATATCCAGACTTATGGAATGAACAACTACTGGATTCTTGGAACTTTCATTGGTAGACAGCCATTTTTGGATTGCTGGGCTACAGTCTGGTAGCCTGTAAGTCATTCTATAATATATATATATATTCATCCTATCAGTTCTGCTTGTCTAAAGAACCCTGACCAATTCAGCCTGCAACAGCTTGCCTGTAACAGCTCATCTGTCTCTCTCTTCCTTCGTTCAGATCTCTGGTTAATGTCATGATATCAGAGGTATCCAAGGTCCTTCCTACAACCGAGTTTCCCTTAACTTGCTTTGTGTTCATTTATAGAACTTAATGTGCCCAAAATAATAAGATATATTCATTTATTTTGGCATTTGCTTCCACCCCTCATTAACATGCCAAGTCTATACTAGAAGGATTCTTGCCTTTGTTTACTGCTATATTCCTAATGCTCAATACTGTCCTTGTACTTCATAGAAATTCAACTCATACTGTTGAGTTAACATATTTTGTCATAATTATCATTGGAAAGCAAGCCCTGTGTTTGTACCACTTCCCAACTGATGTGCGTCAGGCAAACCATATCATCTTTCCACATTTGGTTTTTTGTTTTGTTTTGTTTTTATCACCTATAAAGTGAGCTAGGGTTATTATGAATGAATTTAAAACAAGGAATGACTGCTTGACAATAGGTGCTCAAGTCACAGATCTAGAATTATACACACACACACACACACACACACACACAAACAATTGCCTTCTATTTTATTTGAAGAAAAAAAAAGGGTTTGAATGTTTATTTTAAAACCACATTGCAATTAATCACCACTGCGACAGGACTGGAGCTGGGACCTTTAGGAGATGATTGGGTCAAGGACGAATAAGTGTTGTTGCCACAGCAGTGGTTTTATTGTAAAACTGAGCTTTCTGTGTTCCCTGTCCTGTTTTGATATCATGTCAAGGCTCCTGATAAATACTGGCACCAGGCTCTCAGACTTCACAGCTTCCTGCTGTGAGTGTAATAAAACTTACCTTTTGTTTATAAGTTATTCAGCATTAAGTTTGGATCTTAGATTTCCCCCAAGGTCCCTGTGTTAAAGGCTTGGTCCCCACAGGGATATCATCAAGTATGGTTAAACCTTCAAAAGATGGAGTGGAGTGAGTTTTCTTTAGGTCATTGAGGGTACTCCCTGAAAGGGGTGAGACTCTGGTCTCTTGCATTCTAACCAAGAGATGAACAGTTTTGCTCTCCTAAGCACTATTTGTCACAATGGCTACCATGACACAAAAGCAACACGGCCAATTAGAACAAGACTCCAAAACTGTGAACCCAAAGAAGCCATTCCTCTTTATTAATTACCTCAGGTATTTATTATAGTAAAGGAAGATGGCTGGGCTACTCTGTCTCAACTATTTTGTTACAGAAGCAGGAAGCAGCTGAAAGTTACCAGTCCTGCTTTCTCAGAACCACAACTTAGTCACTGCAGTGATGTAGGCTGAGGGTCACCCATGTGCCTTTAAAGTAGCCTCGATATTCATTGACCCACCGAGCTAGACTTGGGAGGAGTTGTTTGTTAACCGTGTCTTACATGGGTTAAACAAACATCTGTCCACAGCTGGCCAGGAAAAGTCACACAATATACCTGAATAGGGAGACTGAGCCATTGATGAGTTTACAAGGAGTGTTTGTTTGTACAGCCCCTGCTATATGTGATAAGTTGTACAACTGAGATGTATCCATCTATAAATGGGGTGTTCCTGGGGACAATTCCAACACGGCTACCTTTCCCTATGTGGGGTAGGATGGTCTTCTTGCTTAATGGCAGCTGAACATCCCCATATATGAGTAATAAGACACACAGCGAAGGCTGAGCCATCTACAAATGGTGCATACTTCATGGGGAACCTAGGTGGCCACATTCCTCTACCTGGTGTGGGGTAGTATGCATCCTTGATGAATAAAAACTGTCACTAGAGTATGGGAATGTCCTCCCAAATGCCTGGTGAAGGAGAAAATAGATTGCAAACTTTGAAAGTAGCACCTGTAAGCCAGGTTGTGGTGGTGCATGCTTTTAATCCTAACACTTGGGAGGCAGAGGCAGGAGGATCTCTGTGAGTTTGAGAACAGCCTGGTCTATGAAGAGTTAGTTCAAGGACGGACTCAAAAAAAGAAAGAAAGAAAAAAAGAAAAAGAAAAAAGAAAGGAAGGAAGAAGGGAAAGAAAGAAAAAAGAAAAAGAAAAGAAAGGGATTGGAGCAGGCTGTAGTGGAGTAGCTTGGTCTTTGCTGTGGGTGAGAAGATGAGCAACTGAGGCTCAACTGCTTTCCCAGACAGAACTCACTCATGCAAGGGAAGAATTCTAAGAAAAACACATGCAGATCCTGCTCTTAACATTAGCCTCTGGTGTGCTGGAAAAACAGGGAAAGGAGAGGATGCCCAGGGGGCACCCATGCTTCTGGGAGAAACCCAAATAAACTCACTGGTTCAGCAGGCTGGGTGTGGATGGAGTGTCTCTCTGGTCTGTTCTCAGTCTCCTGTCTGATGTGAACAGATGTTTGTTCACACCTACTCAGGAACAATCACACGACAGAAGGGATGACTCAAGATGACCTCAGCTTTTGTTTAATTTGGTCCTATGACCAGACCAGAAGCAGCGCCTCCTTTGGGGTAACATTTTCCTTTATGGCTTTCTGCTAGGAGATAAAGTATTGCTTAGCAGTTACAAAGAACTAGGCATTTCTCTATGTTTAGACATGGAAAAATAAGCAGGACTCATTTTTGAGCTAAAAACCCCAATATGTGCTCATTTTGGCAGCACATATACAAACATTGGAATGAACCAGAGAAGATTACCATGGTCCCTGTGCAAGGATGACATGCAATTTCGTGAAGCATTCCATATTTGAAAAGCCGGGCGTTGGTCTCGAACGCCTTTAATCCCAGCACTTGGGAGGCAGAGGCAGGCAGATCTCACCAGCCTGGTCTACAGAGCGAGTTCCAGGACAGGCTCCAAAGCCACAGAGAAACCATGTTTCGAAAACAAAAACAAAAACAAACAAACAAAAACCCCAACGTTCAAATAAACATAGAGCTACCTTCTCACCAAGAATACCTTACTATATTACTAGGAGCATACAGTGGTTTAAGGTGTAAAAGTGATTAAACTTGAATATGGGTAGCCACAGACACGTCAGCGTTATCTATATTTGATTACTAAGGAGATGTTCTGGGGCTGGAGAGATGGCTCAGCAGTTAAGAGCACTTGCTGCTCTTGCACAGGCTCCATATGTAGCTCCAATCCCAGGCCCTCCTATGCTCGCATTGGGCACCAGGCACACAAATCATGCACATGCGTACATGCTGGCGCAACACTCTTATACATAGACATTTCTAGTTAAAAAAATATTTTACAAGTGAGCTGTATTGCTTACTAATCTAAATTATTAATTTTAAAATGTGGGTTTTTTTGTGTGTATGTGTGCATATGTGTGAGTATCTGCAAGTATGCATGCACATCCCTTGCATACCCGATGCCTGCAAAGTCTAGAAAAAGGTGTCAGTCTTTGGAATTGGAGTCTCAGGTAAGGTCCCTGCAGTGGGTGTTGGGAACAGAACCTGGATCCTCTGGAACTGTGGTGAATGCTCTTAATTACGAAACCATTTCTCTAGCTCCTAAATTAATTTTTAATATTACCTGAGTAAGATGATTTTCAATCATACTATATTTGAGATAAAATGAAATAATTTACTTCCCACTATTCTCAACTGGCACACCAGAACCCTTAGGGGGTATTTAGAAATGCCAGGAACAGTTTGAGTTGTTATGGAAACTCCTTGGGTATTGGAGGCAACTGGTATTTAGTCCCCTCATGACAGATGTTAAATGTCCTATTACAGGGGAGTCTCACAGCACGCAATTGGGTCCCACTTAGATGTTTGCAGCTGTGCTAGTGTGAAACTGCACAAAAGTCAAGCAGGTTATACCTGCATATTAGTCTTTGACTCTATAAGTTTTTTTTTCCTTTGAACTACTAAAATGACCAGCAATTCAGTAAACTAAGCATCATTCAGGAAGGATGAAGTGCATGCAAAGGACTGGTACCCATGATGAGTGGGGTCCGGCAAAGCACATGACACTGACCCTCCCTGGAAAGGTAGCTCATTTCCATGTGAAGAAAAGGTATGCAAGTACCTAGAAGGCAGGGACAGATGGGCATACTGTTCTCTTGTGGGAGCCTTAGGTCAATTTAACACATATCCTTGGCAGGAAGGAAGGGGAGCAAGAGGGTGGATGGATGAGAGGAAGGAGGAAGGGACTTAAAGTTGGGGCATAAATCCATATTCTCATTGAGGGAGTACCTGTGTGGTGATATATTGTTTATGATCTAATAAAGCTTGCTTGAAGATCAGAATGCAAAGCTAGCCACAGCCATAGAGGCCAGGCAGTAGTGGCCCACACCTTTAATCCCAGCAGCCACACTGGTTAGCCATAGAGTCTGGGTGGTGGTGGTGCACCGCCTTAATCCCAGCACTAGAAGGAGAATATAAGGCAGGAACTCAGGGTCTCATGCAGCATTCAGTATTCAGCCTTTGGCATTCAGTCTCCAGCCATGCTGGGGACGGGATTGTGCCAGCCTTGGTAGAGATAAGAATTCTCTAGTGGCTGCTTCTTTGCTTTTCTGATCTTCAGCTTGAAACCCAGTATCTGTCTCTGGGCCTTTATTATTCATACTGCACACCTGAGAGCAAGCCTGTCTCTCAGTTATTGGGAGCCTTTACAGCACTGTGGCTCCCAAGAAGCTTTCTGTCTAAGGGTTTCTCATGAAGCATATCCTGAAAGGTGCTTCCTAACCCTCTTACTCAGTTACGTGATAGCCCACATTTTAAGGAGCCATGACTTTGAATGCAAGCCAGAAAATGTTGCTTGGTTTTCAAGAAAAAAAAAATTATGGTCTGATCTGGGGCTGAAGAAAATGGTTGTGATGGATTACCGAGAGAGTAAGTACATGTGTATATAACTCCGAGCTCACGGTGGTAGATGCCAAGCAGAGACAGGCAAAGAGTAATAGGAAAGTTCTGAACAACTATGCCTATGAGTAAAGTCCCGCTCAGAGTTTCTGGGCTTGGCCACACCTGACTCCAGGTTGTAAGCCTGTTCCTCAACCCTAACCTCAACTCCATTTAGGAGCCAGAATGAACAAAGTTTTGTCTTGTGTATCCAATAAAGACTTTACTGGACACCTGCCTGTATCCTGTCATTGGAGTCCTCAGAGGCCTGTGGAGGTATAGGAAACAGAGACAAGTTTCTTACTGTGTAGAACTCCCTCTGACTGTCAATCACGTGTGGCCTTTTGAGAATGTCCAAAAATGAGATGATATTTTAGGGCTTTGGAACCATAGACTGGTCATTTTTTTGTTGGTGTTGCATAGAAATCCATCCACTCTGGTCCAAATTGTTTCTATTCTGGTGATGTCTCTGTGCCTCAAATGCAGTTGACAACTTGAGTTATGAATCTACCATCACGTTGGCCATGGAGTAATAGCAGCGGTCACTATATTTTCAGTAAGCGTCTTTTTTTTTTATTACTGTTAATGTTTATGAAACGTCAATATAGAACAGATATAAGTGAGCCAACTTCTCTGGTGTTTCCACACTCCCAGTGCTACCTCCAGAAGCCTGGGCCTTGGGGGTTGGACATTCAGGCTAGTGCTCCAAGGCAACAGACCCTTCATCCTTGCTGAGGCAAACATCACGGAACACTTCATATATATTATAGCCCCTCCCAAGATCTGCAAATGTAGCAAAGTGGAAAGTATAAGCCCAACAGAAAGGATAGGTGGCCCAGACTGTAGAGAACAGAGGAGGCCATAGGTGAGTGAAGTCCTGAGTGGATGTGTATTTTGTCATGGCCATAGCCATGTCCAGGACTCATGGGACATTTGGCAAATCCAGTTCCTTATACAGGCCAGGCTCAAGATGGGTGGCAAAGCTTTCCCTGGGAGCCCAGGTATGAGTGTTTATGGACGACCGAACAACGTGTACAAAGACTAGCAACCACGGCTTCCTCCTCTCTGCCAAGGCTCTGGGTTACTGCTGTTTGAGAACCCACCTTATCCTGACTTTACTGTACATGTGTCTGTCCTTTCTCATTCCCTCAAGGACCCAGCTGCACAGGGCATGGCACTGGATAAGGCACAAAGAAACATCGGCCAGTGTCCATGCCCAGCAAGGAAGGCACGGGGCTGAGACATAAAAAAGGGATCAGGGGCTAGAGTGGTTGGGGCAGGCAGGGGGCAGGTGCCAGGGGAGCCAGGACAGGAGGAGGAATTCGCAAGCTTACACAAAAGGAGAAAATGAAATCTGAGGCGTGTAGTGTAAGAGACAGCCAACATGGGAGGAAGTAAGAATCTGAATGACAGGGAATTCAATGCTTTTCAAGAGACAAGGGATGCCAGGGAGGGGAGGGGATTATCCACTAGCAAGAGGAGGAAAAAGAAAAACAAACAAACACAAACAAAACAAAAACCAAGAAGCATCAATAATGAGAGCCAAGCTCCTGAGCTGCCCAAGTCTGCCATGAACCTACAGGCAAGCCTGGGGACAGCCAGGGGACATGGTGACTTCTCTGATGCTCACCTTCTTCCCAAAGGCTCATAGGCTACCAGCGTGCTGACAGTAAGCTGCATTATCTTCCATGTATTTGTCAAGAAGCACCGTGACTCATCTGAACTCACCCACCGAAGACTCCAGGGGCTCTGACTCAGGCCTTCCCGAAAGAATCCTCTCTGGGCAAGGTCACGCGATCACCAGGCAGAGGAGCAGCTTCCTGACCAGGCCAGGGTTTCTTGGAACTTTCTCTCCATACCCACACCCATAAGAGAAAGGGCCATAACCATTGTCACTTTGCCATCATCCTATGACACTCTTGTGGCCAAAGAGCACTGGTCTTCATCTCTAGCTGCTCCCAAACCATCAACACACACAGAGAACACACACACACACACACACACACACACACACACCATCACCTGTAGTACGTGTGTGCTCTGATGCTGAGCTGAGACCTGTGGGGGCAGGGCAGTGTATGAAAGAGCAGATGACAATCTTGGAAGAGAATAGATGTCATTGTCTTTATGGACACCATAACAGTAGCACATTTGGGCTAGCCTGCTTTCCCTGACTTTGTTCAGTGACTGCCTGGAATGAGATGAATTCCCTTGTGGGAACTAACGATGGCCTTTGTCCATCCCAGAACTTACCTGCCAGCACATGGTTATCTCTGTCACTATTACTTGGATAAACACACCTTAGGATTGATGTCATAGACAATTAATCAAGTTGAGGTGGGATAATTATGAGCAAAACTTCAAATATACTGCCCACAAGAGAGACTGTTTATAGCTGAATGTATCCTGCTTCCTTCTTCTCTTGATCCTTACAAGAATCTGGGGACACAGAAAGCATGCTGATTGGCGGCAGGGTGGGATGGGGTTGGATAAGGCCACTAGGAACCTGAAGGAGGCAGAACATGGCCTCCTCTTCTCGGGTCCTCGGGCTCCAAAGCCTGGGTAATTTTGAAGAATCATAAGGTGGGTCAGAAAAGGGGCAGCGAGAGGGCAGGAACATCTCCGTGCAGGCATCCTGGCGAGGAAGGGGTCTACTCTGGTGAGAAGACTGTACTAACTTCCCAGACCCCATCTCCAAATTCCTAGCAGTCTGAACTGGGGGCTCCAGGCTGAGACCAAGGCATTCCGAGCCCTGGTAGTCAGCAGTGCTTGTCAACTGCGCTAGCAGCCAGTGACTCAACTCTGATGGGAAGGCCAGATCCTCTCCCAGGGGCCACTGGTACACTCAGCCCTGGACTCCGGAGGAAGGAACTCTTTCAAGCAAAACAGCCTCTTCCAT